GGTGATGTTGTCCGAGACCGGTAAAGGCGTTCAACTTGGCACTGAAAGAGTGAAGAAAAAAACTGCATGGAATTTGTGAGTTGGGTCGTGAAATGAGCAGCACGGCACACAAAGCACATATTGAATAACTTTTTGTTGTGTCTTCTTTGAGTTTAGCCATTGGCATTTGTTTACCTCATTGCGAATGCGAAATGTTTCAATTTTCGATCGGTCGAAAGAAAATGCCCTCACAACGCCATTCTGCTCCCTTTATGCCACCTTCCTTCTCATTTTCACACATGAGTGGCATTTGCTTCATTGTTTTCTCTGGCTGTTCAGCTTCAATACAACTTAATAGACATAAACGATATATGCGTGTGCAAGCATTGCTTATGTCGATTTTGTTTGAAAATGTTTATTCTTGTTCGATTGAGCGTTTGTATCGTGAGCGCCTTGTTTGTTTGGACAATAGCCTAATTTTTCGTTCAACGACATCGGCCGAATCGTTTCAATGCCGCTGACACATTGGCTTTGCTTACATCATTTTGCATTGTTTGGCTGACAAACGCACAAACTTTTATCCATCTATCATTGATAAAAACGAAAAAGAAAGAAAGGGGATGAAACGCGAGGGTTGCGTTTTGCGCTTCATAAGTAAATGTTTGTCTTAAATAAACAAGTAATTGAGTCTATTTTCTTTGAATAATCTGAAGAAGAAGATAAAAACAATAATAATCTATTATATCAACGATTTCATTCGTATGTGCTTGTTGCTGATTGTTGGTGTGCGAACCAATTGAGTTATGAACGTGTCTTACTAATTACACTCGTTCAAATGGGCAAACAAAAAACACGCTCGACGCTTTCAAAAGGAATTTCGCACACGCAAACTTTTTTTTTATATGTTATGTGTGTGGATAATATACACATAACATATTATATGTCCCGATTGAATAGCGAGATTTATCCCTTCAATTACCCAACAAAAGGAATATTTCGCATAAACAGACAAATGAAGTAATAATGGAAAAGAATCATAAAAAGTTTTTTCTTGTTATGCAAAACTTGCACATGAATAATAATTATTATTATTATTCTTAAAACGAACACACAAAAAACGGCTATGAAAATGAAACATTGCATTTCTGATTTCTTTTCTCTCTTGCTCATAAGATTCGTTAATTTTTCGCGCAAATGTTACGTGATAAGCACTTAAATAAATGTCGACAAGACGCGATAAATGGAATGGATCTCATCTGGACTCATCGTTGAAAGTCGATGACATGAACAGCTGCAAGCGAAAACATTTGAATATTCAACAAATTTCGCTTTTTATTCTCTTTACATCCACCCTTCATTCCATCCATCGCAAAAGAAAAACAATGGCTTTTCATTTTAGTTGCGAAAAAAAAGTGCTCAAAAATTTTCATCTAAGGAAAAACAAATGTAGAGCTGAAATCGAATCTTTTCGCCAACTTTAACGAGGTCAACATTCATGAGTCAATGAAGTGAGTGACTTGGCTCAAGAATCATGTTGTACAAAAAGCTTATTAATTCAATAGCATGACAACATGACAGAAAAAAAAACACCATTCTACGTTTATTCATTCTTTCGTTCAATTTGATAATATTAATATAGTTGCGTTTCTTGTGCGCTTCAATCGAAGTCAACACACGTTTTTATTGCGAAACTCTCCCCTTAATTCTTATTTATAATATTGCCCATAGCATATGCTCACTATGTATGGATTCCCTTCCGTGTACGCTTGTGTTCGTGCCATTGATGTCGTTTCAGCGTCACTTTTACGTAGCTGCTGGCAAAACACAAAGTTATTTGAATCATTTTTTATTTTGGATTTTAATTCCAAGCGTTCGAGTCGTCGCGCCAACTATTTCCACTTTCTCTGTCTCTCTTATATGTATACAACAGAAAGAGAAAAAAAAATGATATGATTTTGGCCATATTCCTTCTCCGTATGGTTCAACCGACGGTGATTTTTCTCAACAAATGAACAAACGTGCGATAAAATGCGGAAATCCGAAAAGAAATATGCTGCTGAAGACTTTATTAAACATATTCAAGGGTTACATTTGTCTATTTTTTTCTTCTTTAACTTTTTGCCTCTGTTTTCATTTCCTTTCTTTTTCACTATGTCCCACTTGGATTTCTCCCTTTCCTTTGCGCGACGCTCTATTTCGGAGTTTTTACTTCTTTTTCTTCTTTACCAGATTTTTTTCTACGCTTTTTCAATAAAATGAAACATTTGAAACATGACGACGATTTTTCCGGCCCAGCCGAATGTCAGAAATTCGTACATCACATTTTTATTATTCCATTTTTCTTTGTTTTTGACGTATATTTTTGTTCTATATAATCATTTTGATAATGAAAGCAATCGATAGCAACAGTCGCGAAAGAGAATCGTACAAAAATACCACGCATACATATCGATATAGTTTTGAGAGTCGAATTTTGTTGACATTGTTAGAAAAATTGTATAGCTTTCAACGTCTAACGATTTTATTTAATGCTATCGATTACATTTATTCCATTTGAAAATTTTCAAACCAAAATTTTGCGCTTATTCAATTCTAAAGCGAAAGATATACCCATACACAATTCACAAAAGGCAATTCTTGTTGATCACTAACAATAACAGCAGCTGCTGCTTAGTTCTTTTGATTTCATTTGAATTCCGTCTTTACAAAGCGATTCCGATCGAAATCAAACGAAAAACTCCAACATTCAAAAAGTATGATGGAATGTAAATGCGTGAGGCATTCATTTCGGCGTGCATATACATCAAACGTACCGAAAACTTTTTTTTTTATTCTCAAAACAGCAAAAACGAAGTATTCGGCGAATATATTGGCTGAGTTAGAAATTGAAGCAAAACGACTCTTCCGGCATTATTTATCGTTTTTGTACGTTTTCGATGCTTTTGTTGTCGACATCCGTTTTGTGCGCTCTCATCTGATGCCAAACGAAACGAAAAACAAAAATTGGAGATTGGTGCGTGCCGCAGAAAAGAGTAATACTATCGGCAACAATTTCATTTCGGAATTTACGTAAATTGACAAACAGCGCAGAAAGTAAACGTAAACTACGGGGGCAATGTTTGAGAGAGACACACACAGAGAGAAAATCATCAGATCAAAAAGTTAAATCGATTCGTTTACTGTGATGATTTCAATCATGGGTGAGCATTCAAATTGTGGTAAATTTCATTATGCCAATTCGATGTCAGCTTCTTTTTTCCAGTACAACACTGTTAAGGCATTTAAATTTTCACTGGCTTTTGTAAGCTTTTACTCGATTACTTACTTATTCGATGCTTTTGTTAATATTGTACATCTTTACAAGTTCTAATTCTTGACAGATTTTTTTTTCTCGCTGTTTCTTTCAACGTCAAATTTTTCTCTCGGTTCGTGCCTTATTTTAATTTATTGTTATCTCGATATTGAACTTTTTAATTTTTTTCGATCTTTTGTTTCACACATTTGAATCCCTCTATGGTTTGGAAACAATGTGACGACGATAGACTTTTCGGGGCAGACACTTTACTGATCCGATCAGTGAACAACATTTTTTTTTCTATCAAACTTTACAGATACGGTATCTGCCTATTGATATCAGAATAAGTCCTTCTATAATTCTCACTCTCTTTCCCATCGGTCGCATCATTGTTTCTATGCACGAATCGGAACGTTTCATCTTTCTGTCGAAATTTAACGCCATTATTACTGTTTCGTTACACGATACTCATTTTAACGATTTGTGCGTACGCTTGTTTTTTTCTCAGTCTATGTTTCCATCTCTCTCCCTCGTTATTTTTCTCTTTCTTTGTTCCCGTTTGCCTTTTCATCAAGCAATGTTTTCAACTTGTAAACGAAACGTGCATCAGTTTACAAAAAAGAAACAACTTTAAAGTTTTCTGCCAAAAAGAATGAAGATGCGAGAATAATACCCTGGTACATAAATTTTCGGCATGCGATGCGTGTTTCACACGGTTGCCGATGGCATCACTGTTGAAAAGCCAATGATGTTGACGATCAAATGAAAAGTTTGCGTTCATTGAATGCCAACACCCACTTCCCACATATAGTGTTCTATAGAGAATCAAAACAATTTTTTTCGCCTTGTCGCTCACTTTTAAATCGCACGCGTGACACGTAAATAAGCTAACGACGACAAAGTTTTCATTTTCTTTGCGTTTCGGTTTTTCTTTCATTATGCCCGTAATTTGGTTCAAAATCTCGAAAAAAAGACTAAAGAGAAGAAAAAACAACGTTATATTGGCGATATCTATGGCAACGAAAATAATGAAAAACATTTAAACAGCGTAAAGAATTCTTCCTGCCCATCTGAGAGAGAGAGAGAGAAGTGAGAATATGTGATGTCTCATCAGCACGATAGATAGGCCTCGTTAACATTCCGCGTTTTTTGTGTGAAAATTCTCGATTGGCCGTAATACCGAATGAAAAATGTTCTCCACTTTTACAAGTGAGATATCCTGTTTTCGATCTGACCGATAAATGCCAATGGGGTAGCAATACAAAACGACGACTGTTCGCACATCAAACTGGGATTTCAACGGGATGACCATCATTTATCTTTGAATCTTTTTTTTTCCTCTTCAATCATTCTGAGTGGCGAACGAGCCGTCGAGTGGATGATGAATGACAAAACATTTTCTTGATTCATGACAAAAAAATTCGACTTTCATTAGGCAGTACTATTTTCGATTTTTCGCCGTTTTTGTTTTGTTCTCTTTCGTTGAAACTTGATTTCGTTCGAAAAAGAACTGATTTTCACAAAATCCTTCGTTAATTGATTCACATTTGCATTTTGGCTTTAAAAGTGAATGAAACACAGAAACAATCGTTGAATTATGTATTTTTATTCCAATCAGTAAGGTAAAAAGCGAAGCGTACACTTTTTTTCACCATTTGTAGTAGAAATTCATTGGAATTTTCTTGTGTATTTCTCATTTTCTATTTCTAATTTTCAACTGCTATAGGAACTGTCTGCAAATTGAACAAAAATTTGTTTACCACAAGAAGATAATTATGCGATCGATTCGATTATAATGGAAAAGTGTATTTAGTATGCAAGCGTTTCGAGTGACAATATTCACGGAATAGCGTCGAATTTTAATAAAATTAAAATGAAAGGATTCAAATTCGGTTGTCGCTGTGTTTGCAAAACGAAATAGTTTATTTCTATCACTTTGTGACGTGGAAACATCCAGCGTTGTTTGTTTGCAACGCCTCAAACATACAGCAAAAATCAACGACACGAAACGTCCAACCACCATCATCACGACAACAAGACGAACGTACAATATGTAAAATTACCACATAAATTAGTAATGATTTGAAAGTTAAAATTGTTTATTGCATCTTTTGGATGTGTTTTCACGAGAATGGGAGAGAGTGGTAGAAGAACATCGCCTCAAAGTGAACGATAAGCATATTGAACACGGCAACGCCAAATATATTTTACGAAGCAAGACTTGGTTGGGGTACAGCAGAGAGAAAAAAAAGCGACAACGACGACAACAGAATGAAAATGCTAGAAATTGAGGAAAAGAACGAGAAATGACTCAAGAATAATATTACTTAAACACACGTACAAAGTAGAACAGAAGAAGCAGAAGAAAAATACACATACTCGGGACGCACATCGAATGAAAGACAGAGCAAAGCGAATAAGTGCTTGTTCGCGGATAATGCACGTCGTCGTCAGTGCTTCAAGTGAAGAATTTTCCATTTATGTTAATGAATCCGAAATTGTGCAGTTGTGATGGCAATGAAGACCACACGATAAAGCCAAGCTAAAGAAAATTTCGACCAAACGGAAAAAAGCAGCAGTGGCAACAACAATATCGTCAAGAGATAGCTAAAGACGACACGAGCGAGGCAGTGTAACAACGGCTGAAGACGAAGAAAAAAGAGTCGAGAAGGGAATAAATCCCCATTGTAGTTTGTCACGAACACCGCGCATACACAGCACAGTACCAAGCCGAGCGCATGAGAGACGAATGTGTAATATTGAATGTGGCGAAGAGAGCAGCGAGGAAAAAAGACAATGCAATGATGATGCTGATGAAAGAAATAAACAGAACTAATGTTGTAAAACATCGCAGGCACAATTTATTTGTGGAATAGATTGTCGGGTTGCATTTTGTATGCGCAAGAGTGAAGCGAATGAATTGAACATTTTTACAAAACGAAAAACAGATGCCAAAACCAAATAAAATGAACATTTACCGAGTTGAACAGAGAGCCAAAGATATAAAGTGAAGGAAAGCAAAGGCTGTAAGGCATAAAAAGTATCAGCCGCAGCAGCAGCAAGAGAGTGAAAGAAAATCGAAATAAACGACAAACACTAAATCGAATGAGAGAAAACCAACGGAAAATTTGCGTGCTTAAAAGGAGTTTTGAACATGGCAAAAAGACAAGCCCGTTTACAATAGACGTAGATTGTAAATTCAAATTTTAACTTGGTGTCTTGTTTGTTACGCGTTGCTTCGGTTGTTTAATTCTTAGTTTCTAGCGTCAATTTGCCTATGTTTGTGTGTGTTTATGAATGTGCGCGTGCGAAAACGAGCGAGCGTGAGCGCGTGTACTGAAAACAGAAACTGTACATTTGCATAGTTTAAACTAAAATTTCAAGTGAAAAGTGAAAAATACACAGTGCGAACGCGGTACAGAACAACGTACGATTGCGACCAACTGCTCGACTACAAACGACCGTAAAGAAAACACATCGGCTCAAGCATTTAAATGCAAATTAGTTTCATTCGGCGGTAGATTATTTGATTTCGATTCAGTGCACAGTACAAACGCCGCGTATAACTCAACAAAACTAGATATGGGGCCATTTTCATATTCCCAACAAAACGATAGCACCGTAAACTTTACAGTTTTTCCGTTTGATAGCGGAAAGACGAAAAAGTTTTCCATTTGAAAAAGTGAATAAAAGAAGAAGAAAAAAAACAGAACGCGTATTCCCTTCACTCATCACTCCGGCCTATTTCACTTTTGTTCACACATTTACGGAAACGTACAAACTTTATACGACAGCGTCCAACAACAAAATGCAAAACTGTAGAATGAACAACGAAAACCAACATTTTGATGTGATTTCAATTTCAATGTGAGCCAACCAGCAAAGAGTGTACGAGAAATATGTGTGCATGTCAATCATTTCAGAGAGAAAGAGAAAGAAAACGTTAGCATTTCATTTAATTGAATAAAATTGGATTTTCATACATGGTTTTCCATTAAGTGTCATTGATCAAAGGTACACCCAACAACATTTTTGCTATGTGTACGAATGCACAAATGAGACGACATCAATGCAAACCAACGCGCCATGTAATTGAGGGCGTCATTTGCATAGTGCTACATTCGTATTGATGAAAATACAAGTTTCAAAGTAAACCGATACGAATTTGAAAAGTCGATTTCATGCGTAACATTCACAGTTTACATTTGGCTATTGAGTGTTAAGAACTTGCTTAAAAAAAACTAAACTATTGTTTTCATATGCCAAAAATTGCGGCCGATGTTTTTCTATTCACTTCGCAATTGAAACGTAGAAATTTACAGCAAAAATACACATAGATTAAAGTGCATGTTTGAATAAAGAAAACCGTCGATGAACTAACAAAAAAAAAACACAAGTATTGTACTAAGTGCAGAAGAAGTGTTGTTTGTTTATCTGAAACATAAAACAAAAAGCCAACCAAAAATGGTAACAAAACCAGAAGCAGTTGTGAATAAAACGATGGCCGAAAACCTATACGGAAAAAGCTATTATTTTTAATAATAAAGTGTTTTTCGCTATACTTACTTGAAAATTTAGCGAATGTGATGTTGGTTCAGTTTTGGTGGTGGCAGTGCGCAATAAAGATAAAGTTAGCTTAGCCCTTAGACGCCAACGACGACTATGAAGTTCGAATAGAAAACACATAGAATCAATTCAACAAAGCCACCGAAATAAAAGAGAATCGAAAGAGAAAAAAATTGAACGAAAGAAAGAGTGAAAGAGTGTAGAAAAAAGGCAAATAAATGTATTTAAAAAAGAAGAAGAAGAAGTAGCAAGGGAAAAATTGTAAGCTTAACGCATTTGCACCGAGATTGAGAGAGAGAGAGAAAGAGAAAAAAATTTAAGAAAGTAAGAAAAATGGTGAAATAAACCAGAGAAAAGTGTAAATGGGATATTTTTGTGAGAACGTGTGCTCATGTGAGAGACGATAGTACATGTGTCAGCGAATTCCGGATACTACATTCGAGGCATTGGAGCATTAAAGCAAAGATCTAGAGCCAATGCTGCAAGTCTCTTCAGCAGCAATAGCACAACTTCAATAATAAATACAGACAAAAATAACGGAAAAACGAACGAGCAAATAATATATAAAAAAACAACCTAGATTTATAAAAAAAAATAAAACCAAAACAAAACAAAACGTCTTACTAATACCATTTAAAATAAACCATTGGCACACTAAATCAATCCTCAAGCTTTTCCTCCCATCGTACTTTTTTTAATGCAAGAAAAAAGTCGAAAACGAAAAGAAATTCGCCAAAAATATATAAACGCAAGCACACCAACTATAATAAACAGTGTGTGTAGCATAGTTAAGTAGAGAAGCAAGTATATAAATATTTTTTGACCATTTCGGTAGTTCGTTTGTGTTTGTGTTACAAGCCATCGCTATTTTTCCGTAATACCGATAGTTTCATCCATTTCAAACACACTTACACACAACGAAAAAGAAACACGACGGTAATAAATTTAATGAAAAAGCCGAATGGTCAACAGAAAATTGGTCTAGAATAAAAAAAAGAAGAAGTCAAAATTGCACTTCGAATAGATAAATTTTTAGAGCATTATATGATCGTAACACATTTTTCAAGAGTCACTTTTCTACTTGCAAACAAAGTAAAGATTTTTTTTTTAAATAACTTCGGTCAATATATCCGCCACTTACGAAAGTAAAAAGAAAACGCAATTTGGAATGTCACATGACAACAGGTAATCTACGAAACCAACGAGAACTCCAAAGTAATTTCGTTTATTTTCTCTCTTCTTTCCCCCCTAACTTCCGTTTCTGAAATTTTGTGTGACGTTGTTTATTTGGTCGATTTTATTTATGTTTTGTTTGTGTAACGATATTCATCTCATTTTCGGCCATAATTTCTGATGGTGGAAAATCAAATGAAAATCGACACGATTTTTGGGGACAAAAACACAAAATCCAATCGCCTAAACACACAATAACTAACTCACACAAATTTATTTGAAATTATATAGCCTCAGCTAGTCAGTGGTATTTGTCGCATAATAACTTAATCAGCAACACGGAATGAATCTAACTGGAATTAAATAGATACGAGCAACCGAAAAAAAATATACACGAATGTAACACTGATAAGGTGTACCAACCAATATACACACTCATATCACGAGACAAACCGTTTAATTCTCCGAAATATTTATTACTATTGATTGACTCCAGCCGATTCACAAAAACGTCCAATTGATCGCAATCGCAAATTTATTGCAATATATACGCACGCATTGTGCGCCATGCTACCGATGTCTCATTCCAAATTCGGCTACATTCAACTTTCGACCACATTGTGGATTTAGCACGTTCAAATTGCTGATTCACATCTGTGCGCACGTAGCCCCAGAGAGTGTACAACTGTTACAACTTATATTTTTCGACGCGCAAATATACCAACACTGACAAATACAGCAAAAGAAAATCCATAAAAGAGAGAGAAAAAAAAAAGAAATAGATTTTCATCTTGGACAATTAAAGAAGAATTTTGAAAAAGAGCGAATATTACAAACGACCGAATAGAGAGAAAAAAAAATTATAAAATTCAGATCTAAGACGAGAAAATGATGGAGCTGCAAGCGGCACGACGAGTCGCATATTTTGCAGCCAGCATCTTATTTTGCTTTTTAATTTGGATACCCGATAATGTTCAAGCTAGCCGTGAGTACAAAACCATTTTTCTATAGAAAATATTTATTACATCATAAAATCCTGAACTGAAAAACCTCAGTCACAAAGAATAATCCTTATCCCTCAAAATCCTGATTCAAAAAAAGGACGAAAAATTGAAAGAAAAAAAAATCCCAGAATTTCCATTAAAATGCTTAAGCTATAAGTACATTTATTACATTAAGACCTACAAAAATTTAGTGTTAAGATTTATGTGTGATGAAAACAGAAACCATAGCAAAATATTTATCTATGTATCGCGAGGCGAAACCGCTGAACTATTTTTAATGCCGGGTGGCTTATGAATTTCGCTGATTTTGATGAAGCTATTTTTAAAGAGAATCACAAAACAGGTACGTTCTTTTTTAAGTATAGCGAAATGAATTTTTGGAACGATTAATATAGAATTCAGTAGATTTTTCGAAAAACTTCGTCGACTTTTTTTAAATTCTGGGCTTGCCCATCAATTTTACATGCGCCATGGCAAAACATGAGACCTTTTTTTAATCCTTGTTATAAAAGTCAAAATATCACAGTGAAATGTCATGAAAAAAAAGGTTAAAATTTTATGCATTCAGCTCAGCACCATCTCATACCGACTGAAACCACGACGAGTTATCATTGCCGAAAAACCATACTCTCGACTGAACATTCTTTTCGGCTATTTTTATTTACTACCCAAAAGATCGAACCTGCTGCAGACGAAATTCTCATTTTTTTTTAATGTCAAACATGGAAAATTCATGAGGCAATATTGATTTTTGCAATTTTCCAACGATTTCATAATGATACGCTTCAATGATCTGCATCAATTTTAAAAACCAAAATTAACGATGTAATATTCCTATTTACGATTGTAAATTTCTGGTTAATATTGAATCTCTGACTCTCGAATCTGATTCGCTACTAGTGGTGTTACATTATGTGAAATCAATTAGACACCATAATTGTGTGGATTGTAAGTCGATTTGCATGTCGTGTATTTGTCGTAGTTGCGAACAGTTACCGCAGTACGAGGTTCAATGCAAATTTTCTTATCGTTATGTTTACATTAAATTGATAGCGAAATAAAATATATTGGCGGAATATAGCCGTTTTGGAGCAACAAAGTGCAGACACCGTGAAAATTTATTGGGTGAATGGCAAATAAAAGACCTTGAAATATAAATGTATCTATTTTGGCTGGTTACTTTTATTATTTCTGTTTAGGCATGTGAAAAATACTTGTACTTAAGAGATTGAGTGTTTGGCACATGAAAGCGGCTTTTTCACATCGGGTAAATACTTTTATCAGATTGATACGCTTCCATACGGCGGAAAGTGGCGGAAAAGAGAAGAAGGGAATCGATGGAGAAGACAAGCAACTGCAATGTGACGCGACAAGTCTATGAATACCGCCTATTTATAAGACTAATTTGAATCGAATACCAACATCTTAAATTATATAGAAAAAGCCCCCGAAGCATGCATGAACACCAACCAGTAAGACCAAAAACTCCAGTAAGAACACCTTTCTTCATTGATATATACTAGGAGTCTAATTTCTAATTTCGCATAATGGATGGAAATTTTGTGCGTATTCAGCATCTTGATAAGAAGCCATGTATCGCATAAGACATTAGCTGAATTGGTTTAATTTAAATTGTCAAGTTAACTGGTGCCTGTTATACAACGACAACAACCAATTCTCTCATTCGCTCACTTCGTCTTTTGCTCTTGCTCGTCCGCAGATCGGATGGGATTTTGCTTTTGTTCGTGTGCAATGTGTGTGGCAATTCAACAACGATATATCGTTCTGTTTTATCGGAAAGTCGATTTCCATATATAAATACATACACGTCTTCATATACATATACATATTTGTCGGGTATGCGTACATATAATGGAGCAAATATATGCAAAATGATGACGATACAAAATATACATCTTTATGATATACATATATGCGTTCGGATTGGATGAGTTGAAATATTACCGAATTGCTAAGTAGCTGTGGAAAAACTTTGCGTAGAACCATGAACCGGCTCTCAATTTAGATTATTATTTCGATTCATTTTGAATGGCATGTCGGTACACGATGATATTCATTCACACACGACACACATGCCCAATGATAAACATGCAACAGAAATTCACACTGACAATAATAATTTTCTTTCATTCTCTAAATATTTATTCAATTTCAAGTGAGAATCGGTTGATTTGATTTAATTCTGACTACAGATTAAGTCACTACTCTTATAACATGGCAAAGTTTTCCACATTTGAAACTTGTACAATTGTGTACACATTCAAATTTGCTCGCATCACACACCGTATTTTACGGTATGTCTATGCGGATGGGAATGTGTGTCTTTACAATATTTAACTCAGTGGCATGAATTTTTGGTAACTCAGTTATCAGTGTGTTTATGAACTTATCATTTCGAGTGCAAATACCGTATAAAAGCACAAACACACCGAACATTTTCTCTTGAATGAATTCGATGGAATTTAAATCTATCCGACATTTTTCCAGATTTTCTACCTCATTTTTTTCTATTGGTAAAAAGTGGTTTATCGAATTGAATGCAAGCATTTTCATGCTCACACCGAGTTGAGCTTTCTCTCTGGTTTGATGCATGAGTGAGGACTAAATTTAACTTGAAATCGATTTCATTTCGGTCACACTCCGTTTTTTTTCATTCTTTATCCACTTTTTTACCGTGTGTGACATATTGCCAACATGGATCGATCTATTTTTGTTTTGCTTTCATTCGTCGTCGGCAATACGAAATCCATTTTTCAATTTTTCAAACAAAACTATAAATTTTCAGCACGAATAATTCACAAAAACTGTAAAAAAAGGGACACACGCTTGGGATGAGATAAAGAGCGGCGCGGGTGGTTAGCATTTATTTTTAAAATAAATATTAGCACAAATGAACCAAATAGACGGACCAGTTTATTTGATTGAAAATTGCATTGTCTTTTTTTTTCATGAGCGAATTGTTAGATTTCCATTTGAACATCGGAATATTAATATTCCATTTAAGTTCGGTGTTATTTTTAACGGTATATGTCTCTCTCGCGAATCGAATAGCATTATTACTGAAATGTCACACAAATAAATCGAATTAAACATGTTTTCAGGTATGGTAAATGTACAAAAGGTTAAAAATAACATTTCTCTTCACGTGCAAATGAAGAAACAAAACATAACTATTTATCGCTCTAATCCGATAAATGTTGAATTCTCATGAAACCGAATTTTTATTTAGTGTTCATCAATTATAATATGTTTTTTTCTTCTGCATTATGCTTTAGGTACAAAAATTAAATTTCCGTTATATCGACGATTCATAAAAAAATGAATAATACCGGAGGAAAAAATAAAACACCATCATAAAAATCATGAAATGTCTTGATGGGACACGTCAAACGTTTTTTCATGATTTTTTTGTCTGAAAAAAAAGTACAGAAAAATGACGTACCCGCGGCTATTCGCAACAAAACAATACCGAATTCGAAACTAACATTTTATGCACAATAGCACGGCAATTTCACTCCCACAAAAAATTGAGTGGAATTAAAGTAAAAAATAAGCCAAAAAAATATGATCTAATGCAGAAAAAAATGAGATTCACCGCAAAATGTTTGGGCCGAACCAATTTCGATCACAAAAAATCCATCCATATTGATGCATATGTCCCCGAAAAAAGCTTCACATGTTATCTATCGCTTTTATTCAAAATGAAAAGCATGACAGTAGGGAAAAAATTTGACAATTTTCTAGAAATCCGGCAATTCAATCAGAGCGAACATTTACGCCGTGCTTGAATTTACAATTGTATCATTTTATCTTCGAAAATATCGAAGAATACACACCGAAATGACGGAAAATTCCCGTCATACTGCAAACAAAGTTTGAATTCTATTCATTTTTTTCGTGTGTCCATGTCTGTCCGAAAAGAGTACAATGAATAAAATGATAGTAGGATGAATAGTTTTCACTTCTTTGATGTGGAACACTCAAAACCTTGTGGCTGGCGGGATTTAACAAACACAATTATGCGGCCATATTGTTTTTATGTCAAGACACACTATCACAGCTGCGTCTATGTGCAAACATGTAAATGAGTGACAATTCAATTGCTTTTGGCCATGCATTGAAGTTTATTGATGTTCTGGCCGCTTTATACCGTATCACAAATACTTCAGATTCAAAAACAAAGTTACAAATAACAATGTACTAGCACAAACATTCCTAAATGAAGTATGTGGTTCTTACAACTAGAACAAAGTGAAGTCATGTTTGTTCTCCCCACAATCCGACGAAAAAAAAACCCGAAATTCTCAATGATTTCGAATCGTTCCCTCTGCTTCCGGAAATTGGTCTTGATGTTCCATAACGCAAAAGAAACACACGAAATTTTATGCTTATAAATAAACCATAAATAATTTGATTACGCCGTCGTTATCTCTCATTTTATTTGCAGTGTTCTGGTTTCTGTCGACTTTCTATTTTTCGGCATTCGTTTATTCTCCTCTGCAAATATTAAGTCGTATAAATTACACGAAACGAGGTAGTAAAACGATAATGATGACCAAATTACCACATCGAATCAAATCATAGAAATGTTCTGCTTATATTTTATGCGAATGCTTTTTGTGCTTCAGCATTACCATCGTGAATGATGACATTAATTGAATACATATGAAAAAATACATACATACATTCGGTGAGTGGCAATTTTGGCGATGACGGGAAAGAAATCACCGTAAAATGCAATGTTCGTGCATTCCATGGGACGGCAGATCATTCAGGGAATGTTACAACTTTGCATTCTTTTTATTTTTATTATTTTATTTATATCAGAATGTTTGCGTTTCAAAAACTTTTGATGTTGTACGTTCAAGTCATTTTGTTGGCGCCTTCTTGGAAAAATAATATTCTCGAAGCAATGAGAAAATTTTCATCATTAAAAAAATTTGTAGATTTTCCAAATCAT